ATTGAATTTATCTGACATAGCGAATAAAAAATAATTAAATATTAAAGTAGCTGCAAAAGACTTTTTTTATTCAAATAGAGCTATAAGCTTGCAAATATCACTGATGTGTGTGTATGTATGTATGTATATATATATATATATATATATATATATATATATATATAGCACACAAAAGACAAAAAGAAAAGAGAGAAAAAGGAAGAAAATTATCAAGCACAAGCTGCAAGTACATAGAACTCACAAAATAATTTAAAATATTGAGAAAATTTGAAAAATAATAAAGATTAATAGCAAGAGAGACGAAAAACTATGAAAATAAAAGTATTTTTAAACAAAATTTCTATTTTTCTAAAAAAAAAAAACTTATTAAAAATCCGGACAACAAAATAAAGAAAAGATATAATCTCACATCAGTTCACACGATTATATCCGCAAAAATGAGTGAGATGTATCCGCAAAAATATGAGGATCACCCCACAAAATTTGCAATTATTTTTATAAATAATTGTTAATTTTCAAAAATCATTAAAATTGTATAATTAAATATCAACCTCTATTAATTATAAACTTTAAATTATCCAGTAAAATATTATTGCCTTGCGCACATCCATTTTCGGGCCAATCCAAGGTAACTTACAAACTAAATGCTCTTCAGAATTGCAGTAAGAACGTGCCTTAAAAATCACTTCTTTTACGCTTCTGTTTTCATATTTTGTAATCTGGCAATCTTATTACGAAAATATTTTAAATCATTCTTGAAAGATTCTGGTACATGTAAGTTCATTTGAATTCGATACTCGCTTCATAAATTTTGTTTTGTGTTTTGTTCTGTATTTTCTTTAGATTTCATTTTATTTTTCTTTGTATATTTTTTACTTAATGTGTTCTATTTTTGATTCAATTTTTTTAGTGCTTTTCACAGCATTGTATTGATATATTTTGCTTTGGCTATATTGATACAATATTAGAAAGCACTCATTTTTGCGAATATAATCGTTTGATCTGATGAAGCGATTTTATCTTTTTTTATTTTGTTTTCCGAATTTTTGATATATTTTTTTTTTACTTTTAGGTAATAAAATTTCTTTTTAAAATATTTTCAGAAATAATTTTATTTTTATAATTTTTCTTCTTCTCATGTCTTTAACCTTTATTATTTTCCGTATTTTCTGAATATTTTGAAAAAAGAAGAAAAAAAATTACTAAAATAAAATATTTTTAAAAAAATACAAATTATAAATGTTAAAAAACAAGAAAACAGTAAATGAAAAGATATAATCTCTTCATCAGCTCACACGTTTATATCCGTAAAAAGAAGTGCTTTCTAATATCGTATCAATATAGTCAAAGCAAAATATATCAGTACAATAGTGTGAGGAGCACTAAAAAAATTAAAACAAAATAGAACACACTCATAAAAAATATCACGTAAACGAAACAGAAAATGCAAGGAAATAACAGAGCAAAACGCAAAACGAAATCTGTAAAGCGAGTATTCAAATGAACTTGCCGGAATCTTTCACACTTGATTTTAAATATTTTCGTAATAAGATTGCCAGATTGCAAAATATGAAAACAGAATGGAGTTAAAAGCGTAAGTAGGGGAATTTTGTTTTATGGCTCATTCTTACTGCAGTACTGCTGAAGTGTGTTTGATTTGTCAGTTTTCAAGGAAAGGCCTGAAAATGGGCGAAGTAATTTATATATATTTTTTGTTTTAAAAGATTTGCAAGTGTTCACTCGCTACATGTACTATCAGTTTTATGTGAATGTGACATTTGTCCATTACTACAACTATTCATTGGAACAGAGCAAATCCTTTTCGGAGATCCGAGGTGACATAGCTCAAGAGATAAAGCATCGAACAGAATGGATCACAGCCTTCATAGATTGGTCTGACTTGGGACTGGCCTTCGTTTTCTTCATACTCATCTTTAAGTATGATTTCTTTAAATAACCTTCTGAAAACATTCCATTGTACCGACCTCATCGGGTCTTATTATTCATCGCCATGCAATGCAGGTCGTCAAACAAATAGTTTCGTAATATATAGGAAGAAATTTTACCTTCTCATTACTCTTTATATATGTATATATATATATACACACACACACTACAAAACCTCAGTACAATAATAATTTGGGGACCAAATAAATATATTGTTGTAGAGGAATATATTTTTATATGTGAATGTGTATGTTTTATACACATATTTGTGTATACAATGCCCTTTCGTGTTTGTGTTATGTACGCATAATTCATTTGCGATCGTTTTTACGAACTTACATACATTGTATGTACAGTTATAAATGTACGTAAGCACGTATAGGCGTACGTACATACAATCATTGTAAATCGTACATAACCGTAATAATAAATTTACGTAAATAAACTTGAGTAAATAAATTGTATCATATACATGTATGAACATACATTTTTAATCAATATGTTTGTGTACAGTTGTACATAAAAGTTATGCACGCCTGTATTTTCTTATAGTGTATGTGCGCAGAAAAGCAGACCACCCTGAATAATTTTTTTTATCTAATTATCGGATCTTCACGTTCTAAGCCTCAATTTTAAAAAAAAGTGGATCTTAAATATGCTAATTAATAAGTGCAGATGGTTCTTTCAAGTTACGAAACCAGATACGTAGTTTCTTTAAACAATGAATATATATTATTTTAGAAGATTCTGACCCCCTTAACTATGTGGAGTGGTGTAGACGCTATGTGGGAAATATGGTCAGGAAAATGGTTCAAAGTTAAATTTAATTTGCTAATTTTACTTTTTGTGTATTTCAAAATGGTGTTTTTAAAATTGAAAACACTTTTTATTCAAGTAAGAACACAAATGATTGAATAACAAATCTCTTTTGTTTTAAAGCTGAAAACTGATGTTAGTTTTAGAAAGATGATGAAAATTTATATTATTCAATTCAAAATGTTCAATTTCATCCAAACATTTACCAAGACTTTTTTACATACGTGATTCTATTACAATTCTCTCTGTCGAGTCATAACTTGAGATGTATACAGTTCGCAAAAATCCTGAATAACTTTTGTTCTAACGTTCGGATTTTCACGAACTAAGTGTCAATCTTAGTGGTTCCTGGGAGTGTCCTCAAATATGCAAATTATTTAGTGCTAACTATTAATTAAGTTACGAAATTGGATACAAAAACGTTTTTTTTTCTCTAAATAAACATATTTTTTTAACATATTTGGATTGTTAACCTTCAAAATATAGGGGTAGCCGCAATCTGGGAAATGGGGTCCCTACAGCAGAGTTGGCCGTCGATTACAGTAATCAAAATTTTTGATTACATCAGAGTAGAGCGAAAATGTAATCGATTACGTTACTTGTAATCATGATTACAAAGTTTGATTACAGCTGTAATCATGATTATATAGTCGGTTACAGTAATCAATTACTTGTAATCGTGATTACAACTTTCAAAAAATTTTGATTACAGCTGTAATCATGATTACAATTTTGATTACAGTAATCAATTACTTGTAATCATGATTCCAAGTAATTGCGATTACAAGTAATCACAACAAAAACGATTACAAGTAATTATGATTACAAGTAATCACAATATATGATTACATGTAATTTGATTACATGTAATTT